GCTCGGCGCGGTCCTGAAGATGTCATCCTGCCCCTGATAAGGCGCAGAGGCAGCTGCAAAAGGAAGGCTCCCAGTTGCTCCTGGCGCCAGGCTGGGTAGAAGCAGACGTGTCGAACCCTTGCCTTCTCTGGCAGCGCCTTTCTCCTCCGCAGGGTCAAAAACAGATGACATCACCTCCCTCAACCCCCAGCATCCCTATCAGCCCCACAGAGAGGTGTGTGCATGGATGAGTGAGGAGAAAGAGGGAAGGGGGGGAAGGAGGCAGAGGGAGTATAGGAGGTTGGGGAAAAGAAGGGAAGAAGAAGGCTGGGACTGGAAGTTGGTTACTTTGGCAAAAAGACAAAGCTCTGCAAAACTTCACCAACCAGACTTCAAAAGGGTGGAAAACTGGAGGCTTGTTTCTGGCAGGTCTTGTTATCAAGGGGAGCCTTATCTGCTCGATGGGACTGATGGTTCGAGTGAGCCCGAGTGGCTGCTAACCCCTGGCTGAGCTTTCCGAAGCCCCTGAGGAGCTGGACTGCCACTCAAAGGAGAGGAGCAGCATCCAGGAGAAGGGACTGTGTGAAGGTGCTGCTGTGTTATTTCAAGCCTGTAGAGCAAGAGAAGCAAGGCTGGGAATATTCCCAGCCCAGGAGCTTACTGGAGCCAGCTCCCTCGCTGAGTTAATCCACAGTGTTAGGAGGAGCAGGGGAATTTATTCCCCCTCAGCTTAGGAGTTTCAAGCACAGAGTCTAGACAGAGGGGCAAAGAGGAAGAGGGAACCAATCTCTATTGGGTGTCAACCCCCATAGCTGAGTCACTGGAGTGAAGCCAACTCACCACTCTGTGTAAATCACTCCAGCTAAATTGCTGGCTCCGTGGTAAGGCCCCTCTCAGCCGCCGGGGCAGCTCCAGGGAAAGCTTTTTGCCCAAAAGTGGCCCAGAAATCCCTTCTTTCCCCGTTTTCCCACCAGGACAGGACTACTCCCTCTGGAGGAGATAGCCAAATGGGTTGTCCAGTTTAGGTCAGGTCTCCCAAGAACATGCAAGGATCTCGTTCCAATAGTGGTATCCCTGAAGGGCTGGTTATTCCTGGCTGTGCTCCCCAGCTGAAAGCTCCTTCCCCATTTCCTGATCCTGAATGAGGACCAAGAGATGTGAACTTAACTCACATGTCACTTGTAGGACTCGGAGCACTACTCCCACATCTCCTGATGAGGAGCCAGGCCGTGCTGGTGTGGGCAACAGGCAACCCAGAACCCCAAGAACCTCTCCAAGGAAGCAGTTTGTGTGCAGCCACCTTGTTTTGAAGGCCAAGAGAATTAAATAATATGGACACGGCCATACAAGGCTGGAGCTGAAGAACAGGCCTTGGCACTGGTTAGTTCACTAGTAGAGATAGTGGACTCTTGTCCTCTGCGGATACAATCAACTACTGGGTCTCCCGCTATGGTCAGCTTCTCGGGTACGGGGAGCTCTGCAGTGATTTTTGGTGGTTCATCCACACCTTTCCTGAGACACCAAGATTGACATCCTGCCTTTACGGTCCTGCAATGCCAAGCAGCAGCAAGGGATAAGATCAGACGTCCTTGACCCCAGGGAAGAGCTGTGGGTGTTGCCCTCTCCTGTTATGGCTCTGGCTGTGGTGTGTACTTAAGGGTCTTGCAGTCATAGGAAGGGAATGATGCCCCTTATGTGATTTTGGCATATGCTCTGAAATACCAGAATTTATCCTGTTTTACCTCCCAAATGCATGGATGAGGCATATGTGAGACAGTCTCCAGCCTGCATCTAAGCAACCTTGGGGTGCAGGACTGAGAGGTGGCGCTTCCTCCCCAACATTGTTAAGCTGTTATTGTGCTCTTTGGAAAGCTTTTGGTTTGTGCCAGCTGTCCGTCCTCCAGACACTACCCTGCCATGGATGGGGGACAGCACAGCCTGGGGACTCAACAGGCAGTTTACATTCAGACATCTTGCTTTGGGGTGGCCAGGAGAGAGTTTAGCCGCCTACACCATGCTGGTGCAAGCCCTAGCTTACTGCTCGGTCTCCAGGCCAGTCAAAGTCCTAGTTTGTTTTATTTTTGACTCATCTCATCCTAAAGTAGACTTCTAAAACAGGCCAAATGAATCACATCTTCAGAGTGCCTGTTTCTAAGGATGGTGGAAAGAGCCCAGGATGACCAGCTCCATTGGAGGCCTGTCTGCACAGATAACTAAAGCTGGGTCAGCTGGGTCCCACCACGTCTGGGATTACCAGCGGCTGCTCTGTCCATGAAAGCACATCCCAGCCTTAGGCAGAGCTACCCATTTCCAGCACCATGCCAGACTAATATAGTAATTTCCTGCAGGATCCCCAGTTGGAACAATGTTGACACACACTGTGTATGTTTCTGGTGGGCAACTGGTCTACGCCAGATAGCTGGCTTTCATCTACTTCTGGTTTTGCTGGTCTGCGCTGCAGCCTTGCAAGGGGCGAGGGAAATACTACCTCTGCCATAACTGGTTAAGATAAACAAGAATTTGAGCCACACACTGAACTCTTTCTGGGTCTCTAAAATACCTGAGCCTGCCTCATGTCTAAGCTCTTCAGAACATTGATGTCTTTGGGGTAAGCTGGCTGCTTTGAGCCCACTGCTGTGCTTTGGCTCGAGTAGGAGCTTGTAAAACTTCTCTTTCATTGAAGTCTCTCACTGGTAGAAGGTTGGAGTATCAGCAAGGTACGGACACTGCCTGATTGCTGGAAGGTTGCAGAATACCCTAATATTGAGGACTTAATATTCAGCCCTTGTAAGCCTCAGCCCCTAGTCTTACTATTTTGTAACTTTGTCCCTCCCTCTCTTCCTCCCTCTCCTATGAGGGTGACTGAGCACTGGCACAGGGTGCCCAGAGAGGTTGTGGAGTCTCCTTCCTTGGAGATATTCAAAACCCGCCTGGATGCGATCTTGGGCAATGTGCTCTAGAGGACCCTGATTGAGCAGGGAGGTTGGACTAGATGATCTCCGGAGGTCCCTTCCAGCCTCGGCCGTTCTGTGATTCTGTGACTCCCTCCCTTCTGTCATTCCCTCCATCCTTTTCTTCTTTTCCCTTTCCTCCTTCCCTCCATTCCTCTCCCCTCCGTTTCCTTTCCTTTCCTTTCCTTTCCTTTCCTTTCCTTCTCTAGAGGACCCTGATTGAGCAGGGAGGTTGGACTAGATGATCTCCGGAGGTCCCTTCCAGCCTCGGCCGTTCTGTGATTCTGTGACTCCCTCCCTTCTGTCATTCCCTCCATCCTTTTCTTCTTTTCCCTTTCCTCCTTCCCTCCATTCCTCTCCCCTCCGTTTCCTTTCCTTTCCTTTCCTTTCCTTTCCTTTCCTTTCCTTTCCTTTCCTTTCCTTTCCTTTCCTTTCCTTTCCTTTCCTTTCCTTTCCTTTCCTTTCCTTTCCTTTCCTTTCCTTTCCTTTCCTTTCCTTTCCTTTCCTTTCCTTTCCTTTCCTTTCCTTTCCTTTCCTTTCCTTTCCTTTCCTTTCCTTTCCTTTCCTTTCCTTTCCTTTCCTTTCCTTTCCTTTCCTTTCCTTTCCTTTCCTTTCCTTTCCTTTCCTTTCCTTTCCTTTCCTTTCCTTTCCTTTCCTTTCCTTTCCTTTCCCTTTCCTCTCCTCTCCTCTCCTCTCCTCTCCTCTCCCCTCCTCTCCTCTCCTCTCCTCTCCCCTCCTCTCCCCTCCTCTCCTTCCTTCCCCCTCCCCCATCCAATTTTTAAGTCAGTTTTGTAATTTCTGTCAAAAATATTTCTCTCACCTTATGATTTTAAACACGTAGCAGGTGAGACTGCAGTTCCCCTCGTTGCACGTCCCCTCTCCTTACAAAGCCGGCCTCTGCCCGGCGCTGCAAACGTGTCTGGCATGACAGCAGCGCATGTGCGCGATGACACACACACCAGACCTCCTTGTGCCGGGGATCCTGGGGCAGCGGGGTTTTTGGGAGGGATGCTCACGCCTCGGTTTTGGCCTGCACCCCGTGAAGCGCTGGGAGCGGGCTGGGACTGCCACCTGCCGTCGCGAAGCCAGATATAGCCAGAGCCTTTTCCTGGCCCTGAGCCAGGGTGGCGGTTTCTTGGCTGTTACATCTCTTTCTCCTCTTTCGTGTACTCATTCATCATGTCTCCTCTGGAAGAAATTTTCTCCCTGCTCCCCCCTCCCCTTAATTTTTTTTTTTTTGCTAAGTAAATTGCATTTATTCATCTATTTTACAGACACCCCAAAAGCAATTGCTTTATAATTGTCAGCACCCAGGGCACTTCCAAAGTCATGTCAGCTGTTTGAATCCTCTTCTGTCCCCGTACCTGCAATCACACTCAGCCCTGAGTATCCCTTGCCAGCAAAGAGCAGTGAGACCATAAAAGCTCTTGCAGCTTTTATCATCATATGAGGTCATATGATGCGTTTCTCTTTTTCTTTAGATCTCCCACTGTGCAAGCAAGAGGTCAGGTGATAATTGCTCCATGCAGGAAACTAGGCAGGTGCACACTATATCACACTTGCCGTGTGACTGCTTGATGAACCGTTCTGCACATGGGACTGGGATTTCTCTGCCTCACTCATCCTTGCCTCATCTCAAAGGGAGGTGGCTAACCTGAGCCACTCGCCTGGGTTCACCTCGTAGTTAGTTTCTGGGGAAGAAAAGGCATTTCTGGAGAGCAAATCTCCCATCTGTCTTGGAGATCTCTTAGGAGAGGAAGGTAGTTTCCTGCAGTGATTTCTTTTGGAATCAGTATAGAGATAGAGATAGATAGATAGATGGGCTAGAAGAGAGCCTGCACAATTGCTCAGACAAGCACAGCAGATCCCTCTCTGGCTGCCACTCTGGATGGGGGCAGGTCTCCCTTGAGTCCTGTGCCACATCTGCCAGATCTGTGCAGACTTTTCAGGTAACTCAGTGCACCTCAAGCAGCTATAAATGCCTCTATGTAGCCAAGTGACTCAAACCCCGAATGTCAGGCAGGATGGTCCACCTCACAGGGAAATATGGCTGCAGTCTGGACCCAGAAGGTTATATAAAACTGCCAGATTTATTGGTGATGGATAAGCCGAACTGTGGGTGTAGACACAAGTGGTGTCCAAAAGCCACTCCTACATACAGTTCTGGTTTCAGGCTGGTGTCCCTGGGGTGCTCCCACTCGGCGTGGCCTCTTTCACTTGCAGCAGCGCTGGCGACCGTTGCTGCAGCTCCCTGCCCACCGCTCCATGTGGAAGCAAAGCCTCCGGCAGTGTCCGTGGTTGTTCCTGCACTGCTGGCTGTCCGGAAGACCTCTGGCTGCATGGGGAAAAGAGAGAGGAGACATAGGAACCCATTCAGAGCCCCACTGGTGTCATCACTGGCTGAGCAATAAAACACTTGCAGTAGGCAACAGGGAAATTCAGTTGCCTTCATGGTGAAGGTCAGACGTGCTTGAGAGGAACACCTCTTTCCACCAAGCACTGGAAGCCTCTTAACAACCAGCCTAGACAAGATGCCAGACTTTGGGATGGCTGAGTCAGGTGAGGTGAATCCCTCGGGCAACATCAAAAGTCAGAAAAGGGTCTTTTTGGAGCAAATATTTTATTTATTCATTTAATCTTCTTAATCTTCTGAATTTGCTAAAAACTCAGTGTGCTGCTTTTCTTGACACATAGCAGGAACACCAAGCTTTGGGGTTTTTCGGAAGGTTCATGGGCATAGCCGTGGAATATTAGCCACCATCAGTGGAGTGGGCAAACCCTTCTCTCTCCTGTCTTTGTCCCTAGCATTTGAGTTAGCTAGATAAGAGCGTAAATAGGCTGAGCAGGTAAGTCTCTGCTTCTTGTTTGTTAGAGTTGATTTCCATTGTAGTTATGCTACCGTAGTCCTAATAACACCATAATGATCTTACAGCTGGATGAGACCTGAATGCCTAATATATGTGCAAGCAGCCAGTGAAAAAATCATGACAAGAGTGATATTTCTATTAAAACAGAACCCCAGAAGAAAAGAGACGGACAAAAAACAAACAAATAAACAAACAGTCCTTCCTCCCACCTTCCCCTACAGCTCATTCTCTTTTACAGATAAACCTTTGAATTAATCTTTGATTGCTTTACACAAAGGATATAGGTGTGCTATTCTTTGTCTAAACTTGGCCTAAATATCAGTCAGACAAAGGTAGTCATCCACTTTTGTATTATTTAATAGCTTGAGTTAGTTTAATTTCGATCTGGCTACTAAGGTTAATTAGACTGAATGGATTTTAATTTTCCATTTGGCTTTGCAGCTCACTGGCAGTTTCTGTTCCTTGCAGTGCACACATGTCCTGTGGCATCAAGTAATAGCTGATGCACACCCAAACATACACCTGTTTCTGCCAGAAAGCACGTGTAAGGTGCCTAAAAGAACCCTACCTCGTCATCAAGCATTATTTTATTGTCACCCTTGGTAGTCCCAAAGGCTGTCCTCTACACCTGGTGACTACACAGATCTTTTGAATTCAGGGGCATCTCCATATTTTGCAGAGAGATTTGCAGAGAGATTTGTTTCCTGGTCAGGGTCAGAGCTCCTTGCTCAGACTCGGCATCTTTGGGGGGGTTTTGAGGTGATGGAGAGGAGGGGACACACTGTCTGTGAGCCCAGGAAACCTTCTCTTACTGCCAAGGGTCTGCATCCAGGAACTCCTTGGAGACTATGTTTCACAAGTTACTTGTTCTTTGGAAGCAAGAGTCAGGTCAGCCTTGGTTTGACTTGAGGACCCTATCTTGTCCTTGCCTACCTCGGGGTGGGAATCTATCTTGTCTTTCTATAGAAACACCTGCAAGTATTTTATCCTTACCGGGAACATCCTGGAAGAAGAGCATGACAATGATTGCAAAGAGCAGCTGGAGGATCCGCATGGCTGAGCCTTGGTGGGGATTCCACCATGAAGAGGAGTGAAGGGCCGTAAAGAGATGGGGAACAGGGAAATCCTGGATTTATAGGTCCCAGGGATTGTGTAATGTTCCTGGAGTGGAGGGAACTTTGTCAATCTCAGATACATTTCAACATTCCAGCAAACAGTTGCGCTGGGATGTTCCCAGTCTTAGATACACTGTGTTACAGCAGAAAAGCAGGATTTTGTCAACAAATTGCACTGAGCACTGGGGAGTCTGCTACTGGTTACTGTTGGAGACAGGATGTTGGGGCTGACCCAGTTTGGCTGTTCTTGTGCTTGTAGGCTCAAGCACGTGCTGTTAAAAGCCTGTTTTTATTTCCAGCTCCCAGTCTCTATGCTTAACCTTGACAAGTTAAAGCATGAAAAAATCCAGTCTCCTCCTCGGCACTCCCAAACATCACAAAGTTGGCTGAAAAAATCATTAAAAATCAAAACTCTGTTTGTATTTCCCAACTTCTGGCTTGCCAAGAGATCATTTTCCAAGCTTTTGTTTACAACTGTCAGGAAAAATGTAATTCAACAACTTGTTTATGTATTTATTAAGTAGGAAAGCTGGGATACCTCCTAGTAATTATTAGGAGCAGGAGCTTTAGGAAAAACTTGTTTATTACAGATCTCCCAAGAAAGCTGGCAAGCTTTATGGTTTGTATTAGTTCTCCAGCTCAGTTCCAGGAAATCAGGAAAGGTGGGACCTGAGTTTCAGTGCTGGAAAACAACACAAAACAAAGAACAAACAGAAATCTCCCCTAAACAACAGTGAGAAGTGCAAGAGGAAATAGAAACCTTCTAAAAGTTTCTTTTTGCAGCGGTGAAGCAGCAAAGGGTCTTTCATTTTCCCTTTGCGAGTCACCTTGATGTCCTTTTATTTGCAGGCTGGATGCCAGCCAGTACTGAAAAAAGTAAAGCCACTGGCCTTCAGACTGCTTGAACAGAACAAGGATTAACTTCATCAAACAGTGCAGATAAGGGACCCTTCACCAGCTAGACTTTGGATCACGGGACGTTGAGCATCAAACAGGGTGTCATGCACACAGGCCACACGACCAGGGGAAAGAAAATGGGGTCTTAACCCAATCTGTGGGAGGGATGGTTTCTAGGATGTATGTAGAGCCTCTCTAGAACTGTTTGCATTTTGTATTTCTAGTAGAACTCTTTTGTGCAGTTGGTGGAAGACCATAACCCACTACATACAGCTGAGGATCTATATCTTCGGTGTGAGAAATGGTGCAACAGGGGTGACTTGTTACAAGGCTTATCTAGCGTGTGGGCTGTTGTGGTGTTGTACCCAAGACAGCAGCTGGTGGTTCAGCCTGTGCAGCTGTGTTCAGAACATGGAGAGAGAGAGCAGAAAAGAGATTACAACTCTGTCTTGAGATACAACCCCAGCAGGGAGGAGTGTGCAGTGGAGGTCAGTCATATGAGTATCTTGTTCCAGCTGTGTGGGTCTAAACATGTCTGTGAAGCCAGCTGGATACGCTCTAGAGACTAGGTCTAGAGCCATGATACCAGGTGGCCACTGCATTGCTGCTGGTGGATGGCAAAAAGGCATGTTTTGTCTCTAGCTCAGTTGCTCTCCCTTGGTAGGAGCAGGAGCCACTACTCAGAGGATGAGCTGCATCTGGATCAGTGCAAATGCTGCAGGCTCTACAGGGAGCAGCACGAAGGTGATCAGGATGCATCCTCCAAGTCACTGCAACTCCCTGCTTTGCAGCTGTGGTGCATGAGTCGAGTTCAAGAATTCACTTTGGGAAAGACAGCTATTCTGCTAGGGTAGAAAGACCAGCCCTGTCATCAATATAAGCCAGAAAAGAGCCAAAAACAGACAATACCAACACAAACCAGATTTCCCCAGAAGTCAGGAGCAGGAAGTCTTTGTCTCCTGGGCAACTGCTCTGATTGCAGCTGGGCTGGCTCCCTCTTGGGTGGTCCCTATACTGTCTCGGCCTTAGCCTCTGGTGAGCGTCCTTCCTTGACGAACTGCATCGGGTGCAGTTGGCCCTGCCCTTTCCTGCACCCAAACTGACACCAGCTGTTTTTTTTTCAGATCCCACAGTGGACAGAGGGCATCTCTGCTTGGTGACTCGCAACCTAGAAATTAGCTCCTGGGTGCCCTTGGGGTTTTTGAGGCTGCAGAGGAGTTTAAGTCAATCCACATCTGACCTGTAGCCTGAAATGGCATTGGACCTCTTCACTAACTTCATCTAGCTTTGGGTCAGGATCCAAGCAGCTGGATTTTTAAAATCTGGCTGCTTGTCTCAGCAGCTTGGGACAAATTTACACTGGCCGCAGCAAGGATGACTATAGGAGGGAAGCCATAGGGGCAAATCTTGCAGCAATTTGAAGGCCTCCTAGAGCCGCTTTGCCAGCCACTTCTCAGATCACGTACTTGCTCTGGCAGCCTACATCCTCACCTTCCCTGTTACTTTTTACCAAACCCTCTAAATCTCTGCAGTTCAACATGGGAAGAAGGGCCCTGACGTTGGGGAGTGCTGCTGCCTTTCTGCTTTGCCACAGAACAGCACACCGGGCTCACAGTTGGCATGTTTTCTGCTCTGGGGAGGTCCCAGTCTGCTTCCTGCCTGTCTATTAAGTAACTCCCTACAAATTTCCCTTCCAAGTACTTGTGCAGTCTCTCTTTGAAACCATTTACAAGTTTTACATGACAATACCCTTTGGCAAGACGTTCCGCTTGTCTGCAGTCTGTTACATAGAGGAGCAATTTTCATTTGTTTTACTTGAGGCTCCCCCTACTCCCCCTAGTTTCCCAAGAGTTCTTGTGCAGGAAGAGACTGTAAACAGTTCAGGCCCCCATTCACCCTCGGCGTATTTCTATAGGCTTTCATGATCCTCTAAACTTCTGTCATGTCCCCCTAAATCACCTGATGCTAGTGCTGCATCCTCTGGAGTGAAGCTGTGCTCAGCATGCTCTGCTGGGCCTCCTCTTGACTCTCCGGAGTGGGAAAAGGTTTCCTTTTACATGGTGTGAATCTGCAAGTCTGTCCTTTCTCCCCATTTGTTGCAAAATGCTGCTCTTTGCCCTATGGCAAGCTAACACAGCACAATTCCTGTCTGCATAGCTAAGCTCTTCCCTCCCTCTGGTTGCATGGCCACATCCAGATGTTCATTACAAGTGGTCTCTGGCATGCACCAAGCTCCAAATTGTGCCAAGCAATTGTCTGGGAAAGTGCAAGCCAAAACTGCACCAGGGATAGTGCTAATGATTCGATAGCATGCATGGGCATCTGTGAATATTCGAGCATGAGCCTCACAGTGTTAACTTACTTATGCAGATACAGCCTCTGAGTTTAGACCCATTTTAGCCTCCTAACATGCCCTTGTATCTGGGCTGTTGCGGGATGACTATCTATCTCCTTCACTCAGCCTGGCTTGTGGAAAGAGCAGCCAAGTGCAAAGACTGAATATGACCCTCTTTTTCCTGAGCTGAAGGAAGAGTCATGCAGACAGCTGGCTGCATTGCTTTGCATGGGGTTGCTGCAGACGTAAAGGACATCCTGAATGCAAGAGGTTTGCCCAAGATTATGAGAGCTCAGCTTCCCCGAACAGGAGCCTGTTTGACCGTCATTCCAGTTCTGATCGTACAGCTCAGTTTACATTGGTGTTTACAGACCACAAGCAGAGGATTTCATTTTAGTCTGGCTATCTCTGCCAAACAAACACTGGCTTGTTGCCTGGGAACAGCAAACAAACTACAGCGAGGGGGACATTCAGGTCTTGTTTTGATGAACTAACATCTCCAGTTATTCATGAGGCTTGTGCTGATTAACAGACCAGACATGAGAGCAGGCCTCTACCCTGGCCGAATCCTTGGGCTGTCCCTGTGGCTGCAGGAGCTGAAATGGCTGCAGATATATATATATATCTCCCAAGATGTCTGCATGTTTTCTATGTCTCCTTCAGAAGGTGGCATAGGACTGCTAAGGAGGCACTGAAGAACCTTTATTTCTGTAGCCATACGAGCTCTGTTAGCTATGGGCAGCTAGAGATAAGGGAACTCCCAAGCCTTTCCTACTATTTTCTTTTTCCTCATTTGGTTTTCTCCAATTAGGTCAAGAAATTCAGCCTAATCTCTTTTCAGAGAGGTCCTCTAGTCTGATTTAAATTCTCATCAGCCTACATCTCTTAAAGGGTAGTAGACTTCACCTTCTTATTTCTTCTGCTATTCTGGCTTCCCCGTTAGCTTGCCTGACTGCCCACTCTATTTCTACATGCAGTAATGCAGGTGTGATGTCAGGATGGGTTCAGAGTAGCTCCACTGACTCCACTGGGGTTTACACTCATGGAAATGGTGCAGCGCAGGCAGGGTTGCTCTCCACAGAAGGAATTCCTGCAGTTGGAGCACATGCTGGAGATGTCCTTTGCTGAGTGCCTCCAATGAGAAATACTGTTTTGCTTTTGGATATAAAGGGATGGAAAAGGATATTTGAGTTTTGTCCAATGCCAAATGAAAATATACAGATCTGGGTTGAGTGGAAGAAAGTGAGCACTTCCTTCTCCCTAGGGCTGCATGATGCACCACCCTGGGGGTCACGAATTTCTCTTGATGCTGATGGTCTTTACCTGAATTTCCTTATTTTCTGTGGAAGCAGCATTCCACATCATATACTTACACCAAAACATCTTATACTGCTATTATACTGTTGTTTCATTCACACAGCAGTTACTGATGTGGTGGACATAGCCTCTACATAAAAGAGAGGATTTATCTTTTGCAAATATAGAGCCACACAGGAGACTGTGCGATTTGCTGAATGGAAAACATGATCCTGACTCAGAGCAACTCATTTGCCATGGAGAGGGAATAAAGATGAACAATTTTTGAGGGAGACAACACGGGCAACTGGCAAAGGGGAATAGATCAAAACCTAGCTGAGAGCTCAGAGGTCCACAGTAAAATAGCAGTGAGTGAAAAGTCAGAGTGAGAGCAAAGCGAAAGCCTGTTTTTTTCACAGGGTAGGGACACTAGCTTTAAAAGAGCTGTCCTGGTGATTGAGTGCTGTGCTCCAGACTCCAGGTGAGTTTTTGGGTCAAGAAACCATGGGAAATAGTAGCCTGCATGTATTGGAGAGCACAGTTCTCCACCCTCCCTCCCTCCGTGTCCTCAGTGCTCTCTCCTCTCTGTTTGTCATAGTGAATGATCAGGTAGCCAGAAAGGAAACCAGTTCATCTTGCTAATCTGGTGGAAATAATAATGGATTTTTGTTCTTTTTTCTTTTCGAAAGGCTATTTTTCAACCAGCTCGCTAAGCAAAGGAACGCATAGCCAGCGGAGCGTGGGACAGCGTCTTGCAGCAGCACCTTGCACTTACTGTCATACTACTGCCAGAGGGACAATGTGAAACTGCCAGACAGTTAACCATAAGCTGGCTGAGCATTTCCACCTTATCCCAGTCAAAATTCAACTGCCCAACAGGTTCAAAATATATAGGGGGGCTGAGGGTCCAACAACTGGCGGAGAGATTTACAAGATGAGCTGCATGAGCTCATATGCTTCACTTTCTTAGGAAAGCAGGCTATAAACATGCTGGCTAACAGTCATCCAGATAAGAGGCGTGAATCATGAACTTTGTGGATGAATGTGAGAAATAAACTGATTTGAAAAGGCTCCTTGATTTACACGCTTGTCCATGCCGAGTTCCTGTATCAGCGTGCATCGGAGAGTCCGACGCCTAGAGTCCTTAGGACATGGGGAGGAATTTGGCTCTGGGCTCAGGCCCATCTCTGTTTTCAGCCGCGGTTCCCAAGCCAACGGCCAGCTCTGTGTAATTAGGCTCTCCTGTCAGCTCATCTAACTTCAGAGGATCTCCAGGGAAGTGCTGGCATCTCCCTGTGTGCGTTCAAGTCCCAGACTGTGCTCTGTGTGTGTTATGATAACCCAAAGAAAATAGCTGGGCTGCTCATGGGCGGCCTCAGAATCACCCAGAGAATCAAGTCACTCAAATGAGTTCATCTTTGAACCTCTTATGACGGCTCCTGACCCTAGTGAAGTCAATGGGAATTTTCCTGTTTGATTCACTAGAGAGAGAATTTCATCTCCTAGGGAGGACTTTTCCCTGGCTCTGAGCAATGCCTGAGCTAATTGGCATAGCTCTCTCATTAGATCATTGTTTTCTTGCTTGTACAGTTGTGATTACCCTGGAGAGAGGCATTTTACTGGGATGGGAACACCAGGAGCAAACTGGCAAGTGGTGGTGGTGGGGGGGGCATCAAAATTCTTCAGGCTGAAAGGTCAAAGGAGGAGAAAGAAATAGAGAAGGGCTGAGAGTGCATCTGGAGACCTATTGGATTTAGGCTGAGACATCTCATAGGCAGAAAGGTATTAGGTGCAAACAAGCTAATTGCATTGGGTTTATTGCCTGGGGATTACGGAGGAAAGCAGAAGTAACAGAAATGCAGCCCATGGATGAAGAGAGAGGTCTGTCAAAGCCAATGTTTTGCACAGCCTTTAGATCCATCTCCCAGTTTAAACCAAATGACCCTGGGCTCTTCCTTCTTCTCACTGTGCTGTGGAAGAAGAATGAACAGGGGACTGCCCTACCAGGCTTTGCACTGCCTGATCTAGCTGGGGGAGGTATGGCTGATTGACAGCACATTCACCACTGCTATAAATCCTGCCCAAGAGCAGGGTATGTGTGGGTGTGCCCAAAGGTATTCGTGTGGGGAATTCCTGCTCCCTCTCCATGTCTTAACCCTTTAGCAAGCCTTTCCTAGTGCCTATAAGAACCTGGCACAGCCTGGAAAGGAAGACTAGATATGCGCATGGGACTTGCCTTAGATATATGGACCACACTTGGCCTTGTGTCAAAACAGATAGCTTTTGCACCAGAAGTGATGGCAAAGAGGGCTGCTCCATTGCAACTGTTTTCTCTGGGAAGGGAAAGGAAGAGATAGAGCCAGCTTGCTCTGCTGAGAAATGGGTCACTGTGCTCACTCCTGGTTAATGGGAGACAGCACACCCCATCACCAGCAATTTTGATGAGAGTAAGCAGGAGTCACAGAAGGGCATTTGCTATTCTGTTGAACTTCAGGTTTATTGCTTTCAGGTAAGAACAAAAGCAATTTCTCATCTGGAATAACAGATAACTGCCAGATGTCAAAAGGGGCGATACACAAGTGATTGGAAGGCCCCAGTTTCTTCCTATTGCAGCATTTTCTAGAAAGTCACAGAAAAAGCAAAAAGCGATATGTTCAGAAGTCCACTAGTCAATCCAAGTCCTCTGACGATTGGAGCAAAAGTTCTCCCAGAGAAGCAACAGTCACAGAAAGACAAAACATTTCCTTCCCAAGAGACAGAACTCAACCGCAGCCTGTTCCTTGTTGACGGATGCTGAAGCTCTCCACATGCTGCAGTTTGCTCCTTCGGAAATCTTCAGCTTTTTATGGTAGTCAGTGACAAACTTTTACAACACAAAATGATAGGTTCAAAGCAGTACCCAGACAGATATTCACCAGGGATGCAGTTTCCAACTCGGCACAAGCCCCCTTCATGGTTACAGCTATCTGGTCCGTGAGCATTTCCTGTACAAAGAAGCAGCAAGTTGGTAGGTAAAATACATGGAGTTTCCTCTGACACAGTGTGCCCAGTCAGCCAAGGAGAACTGAGAGCACGCATGGCGCCTGGGCGTGCACAGCTGCAGTTCTCAAAGAGCACGCCCAGGGTCCCTGTCTCAAGGACAGCTTCAGACATTTGTATTTACTAGAAAAACCCAAGATTCAGAGCCAATCAACAATCAACATTTTGTCAAGCAATCATTTTTTCAGGATATTGTCAAAGACCTTACACAGGAGGTTGGAATGATTATCCTCGCCCTACAAGAAAACAATTGCAGTCTGAGAAAAGGCAGAAACACTTTCCCAGAGCCTCCAAAAATGAGTAC